GGGGGATTAGCAAAACGGTGTGTTTGTATAATTTTTAACTTCAACCTCTGCTGTATTTTGTGGTCGTGCCTCATATATGATATATTCTTGGTTTAGAAATTTCTCAAACTATAGAAACATAGAAAGAATGATAGTAGCATTCAGAAATAAAGATCGGCAGTGTTGGAGCGTGCTTGCTTTGTGGGTGACTTGATTTAAACATTCTTTAGTGATGCCTGGGAGGCAGAGGCAACCAAGGGACAGGCTCAGAGGGTGGCCAAAGATGCCTGGGCTGGGTCCCTCCTGTGAGTTGGCCTCCACTCAGCCAGCCACTCACTGGTGGCTCTGAGCAACCTCATGTCCTCACCGAGAAGCTGGCCTGGTCCCTGCTAAGCGCTGTCCTGTGTCACCACCATGCCTGGACCCCTGCAGGTCTGGAATCAGGAGGGTGGAATACAGGATTTCTGACAGCCTGTTGACCTGAACACCTGATGCATCTGGGACAAAGGAAGGAGGTCTGGATCTGGAGGTGGGGCTCATCTTGGTTTGGCCATACCTGGCACTGGGGAGGAACAAGTCACACCCATTACCCCCTACCTCACCCCCCACCGTGCTTCAGGTCTCTAACATTTCCTCATCTGCTCAATGGGAACAGCAAATGCTTCTAAGCCTCCTGGGGGGCGGGGCACAACCTGCTCCTCAGCTAGGAGATAGGACCATGGCCCTTTCTGCCTCCCCCGCTGCTGTGGGTGAAGGCAACCTGTCACCTGGGTGGGCCATGCAGCTGGTATGGACAGTGCTGGCCTCAGGGAGCTGAGCCCACAGCAGGGCCACGTGCTCACTACACCGCAGCTGAGCAGGAGAGCTGTGGCCATGGGGCGCCTGTGGGCCAGTTCCAGGCCTGCCACCACACAGGTCCTGTCTGCTTTAAACCTGTTGGCTTTGTCTTCTGTCTCCTAACAACTATAAACAACTTCCTGGGGCACTGTCTGCGGGGACCTGGCACCTGCATGATCCTACAAGAAACACGTCTGCTGGTGCCTGGCAGTTTCACTGGCCGCAAAGGCAGCCCATTAGCAAGCTCCAATGTTTTGTTTTCAGCTTTGCCACCTCGGGCAGAGGGGAAGATGCTTTTGTCCATGTCCTTTGGCTCCCAGCTTGGCAAAGGGGATGTGTGAGACAACTGAGAGACTGGCAGAGAGGAAGGTCCCTGTTCAAAGTCCCATGGGTCAGGGGCATTTGCAAAATGTCCCGGATTCTACGCTCAGCTGAAGGGTAAGGTGGGTGGCTGTGGGTGGCACCTTCCCTCTTCTCAGTTTCTCAGGCTCGTTCCCACCCCGGGCCCTGTGCCACCTTCTGATGCTGGGATGGACATCCTGCCACCCGATCCCGAGTGGTGTCACAGGGACAGTCCAAAGTCACCTGTGCACCTTCTTGTGTTTTCCCCATGCATCAGCACCAGGAAAAGCTTCTCCCCCCACAGGTGCCCGGGGTGATGCCACAACTGTCACTTCCCGAAAGTGACAGGTCAGAAGGAGTGTCTGGGGCGACCCTGCAGCCCTCACTATGGGATGGTACCCCAGGAGGCCCTCTCTGCTCTTCACCTGGTCACAGAGGATGCAGTGGGACAGGGACAATGCTTCCAGAGTCTACTAACTGCCCCAGCATGGCTTCTGGGTGTCAGAGAGCAAGGTAGGGCCTGCCCACTCCTGGGCCTATGGCCCCATGGCCCACTGAGTTGCAGAGGTTTGGTTGGTTTCATTGGCCACGTGGAGAAAACACAAATTCCCATGTGACCATGCCAATTCAGTGGGGAGGGCCTGGCCCCGGTATGGAACACTTGACTCTGAGCTTAAACAAATACAGTATAATAAAAGTTATGCAAACTATTCTCGCTGGCTGAGAAACAGGTCAGGTTTTTTTTTTTAATAGGTCAGTTTTTTAAAGGCAGCTTTGCCAGTTCACAGAGGGCAAATTAGGGATCAATGGTCTGAAGCTTTGTTTTGACAGAGACTTAAAAACTAGCAGAAGCCAAGTATGGTCGTGCATGACTGTAATTCCAGTACTCAAGAAGGCAGAACCAAGAAGGTCTCAAGTTCGAGCCCAACCTGGACAATTTAGGGGCTTAAAGAGACCTTGTCTCAATCACTCAACCAATCAATCAATAAAAAGTAAGATAAATAAAATAAATCAGATGTCTATAGATGTAGCTCAATTCAAAGGCTTTGGGTTCAATCTCCATTACCAAAAAAACTACAAACCCTACAGGTTCCCCTTCAGTGAAGGGTTTTAAAGTTGCTGCTGTTTAACCCTGATGCGGGCAGGCAGGATTTCCTGTCAATGTGCCTGTGCTCCTATCTGTGTGAGGCTGCGCTGGCTCAGGGAGATCTTGCCCGGAATACACGCAGATCCTGGACAGTTCTGTCAGGAACCTGTATGTAGGCTCCTAGGCCCCTTCACTGGCCCAGCCCTGGCCACATCGGGGTTGACAACAGCACCCAGGCCTGGAACCACACTGGGTGCTATGCTCTGCTCTCCGAGGTCTTATCTTGGTTCCCTGGCCCCACACGGAGCCTCCTTTCTACTCAGAGTGTGTTCTGTGGACCGGCACCATGGGTCACCTGAGAGCCAGTTGGAAATTCTGAGTCACAGCTCTTAACCCAGACCCATGCAACCCGAGTCTTCCTGTCAACAAGTGACTCGGAAGATGGATGTGCACAGAGCAGTTCGGGGGGCCACTGATTGATCAGCCCATACCCCCAGGCCCCTGCAGTGCTGCCACTCCCCACAGCCCTCTACTCCAGGGGTGCAGGTGGAGAGTGAGCCCTGGCCCTTCCATTCCTGGTCTCACCATCTTACAGGGCTGCCTGAGCATGAGGAGCCAGTTTACTCACCATAGGATGCAGACAGCAAGCACAAGGCTTGTAAGAACCAGAGAGAGCAGCAATGGAGGCTGAGAGTCTCCCTCCCTCCTGCTTCTCTCCCCGCCCCACTGTCGTGGCCGAATCTTTGAGAACTCACATTTTTAGGAAAACCAATTCCCTTTGGAGAACACCACGTACTACTGCAGTCAGGAAGTGCCACCTGGCGGGTTGGTGTCCAGAGGCAACATCTGTCTTACTGCTGTGTCTGCTCTCAGCCAGGGAACCTGGCAGGTGAGGCCATGTGACAATTACAAGAATGACTACTGTGAGCACTCGTTTAGGGGTGAATCTCACTGTCACCCTCATTCCTTTATTACCCATTCAACAGCGCAGAGAAGCGGCTGAAAGAGTGGAAAGTGTTATGCCAATAGGAAGCACTGTTATCCGGGCTAATATTCCCTCTGCCTGTTTCGGATGCTGAACCCTCTGCTGTCCCCTGGGGGTCCCTCTGCACACTCCCAGGACTGCTCCTGCACCTGGTCCACCTTTCTGCTCCATCAGCTGGTACTGCAAGCATGGCGATGTTTGCAAGCTACTGATGTGGGACACCACCCCAGACACTCATGAGATTGGTCAGGGCTGCGGCAGAGGCTTCAGGAGCTGAGGTCGCCTCGTTGTAAGGCAGGCACCCCTCATCTGCACAGCGATGAGGGGCCAGGCCCTGGGAAGTCCCTCCTGGTTTGCACACACAGAGGAGGATCCTTTCTCACCCTGCCCACTCCAAAGGAGGCTCCCTGGGAACTCCAGCTTACTAAGAAAGTAAACTTGTCTGCTCCCAGAAGCAACACAGTCTCAAGTGAACTCGAAGACAAGTCCTATCCTCTATGAATGGGAATAATTTTTGATTTTTTTAATAAAAGCAGATCCAAACAGCTTAACTCAGGAATTCAAAGGGCAGCTTTTGGGGCCAGACTTGAGGCATAGCATGTCCACACCCCTACAAGCACCCATTGATCATGGAGCCAGAGCCCACAGGGGCTCTGGGCAGAGACCACATGTCCTCTGTGAAACCTCTCGGCATCAAGGATCACAACCAAAACAGGTTCCCAGGGAATCAGACACCCAGTTCCCTTCCCAGCCCAAACCCAGCTTCAGAAACTCCAGGTCTTGATGAGGATTTGTTTTCCAGGATTCTGCAAAGCCACCCAAATGGGTCTCTACACGCCCCGCTGCCCCCAGAGTTACTCCTGGCTCTAGAGGGCAGCCTGCCCTGGCCTCCTGGGTTGCTGGGACCTGGCAGATCTAACCTGGGCCTCAGGTAATGGGCAGGGCAAGGGCTGAGAGCTTGGGAGGCTTAGCTTCCTGCCTGGCTCTGCTGAAAAACCACCATACAGGGACTGGAGATTCCCCCAGGGGGAGGCGTGGACAGGGCACCCCGCTCTGCAACCCACCCCCTTCTCAGGCTGAGGTGCACTGCATAGCCAGAGATGCTCCTGATAGGAATCTGCTTTGCCTGTGGGCAGAAAAAGGGCCAAGCTGCTCATCCCAGCTCCAAGAAACATGCCCTTCCGCATACCCTCCTTCCTGCTGGAACACTGGTCCCCAACACTGCCGCCCTGACTCTAGAATGGACTACTACTCAGCCTCTGGGAGGTCCTCACCCGAGGCATGCTCCCTCCTGCAGGCCCCTGACAGCTCCCCAACACCACGCACTGTTAGCACAGCACCCTCTGCAACAGGCCCCGGGGCCACAGCTCCCAGACAGAACACCCTCCCGCAATCGGTGCCCAGCCCAGGATGTGGCCACTTGCTTGCTGAGTGAGTGGATTTGGGGCCAGCAGGCAGTTGGGGTGGAGGGCAGGAGAGGTGACTTCAAGGAAGGAGGACAGGCAGACTCCAGGAGCAGGAGTAAGATGTCCAGCGGGAGGGTGCAGGACCCTAAGCTGAGCTCAGGGCCTTGGGGCAACACATGCTGCCTCCAGTCCGGGGTTAGATGCTGCCTGACACATGGGTTCCAGAAAAGCAGGGATACGAGCTCTGCCCTGGTCTCTGAGGACAATCACAGATGTACAGGGGTGCATGGGTGTCAGGGATGGAAGGATGGACACAGAGGAGGAGGGGAGATGGGATGGGGCCCTGCAGGGCCCTGTCACTCACCAGTTCCTTCCTGAGCCAGGTGATAGCCTCATCCATGCTTTGGAAGCCCTCCAGCTTGCTGCCTGTGGACAGTGGCCTGTCGCCCTCCTGGGTGCTCCTGGGAAGTGGTGGGTGCTCTCTGGCCTCTGTCCAGCCCAGCAAGGGCTCCCTGGCCGCACACTCTGCCTGCTCTGAGCTCGCATCCTCTGCAGGTGGCCTAGGGAATGGCCATGTCTGCTCCTCCAGCCGAGCCTGCCACTCTAGGTAGGAAGGCCTGCGTGTCTCCAACTTCAGCTTCTCGGTCAGGGCCTTCAGGCTTCGGAGATGGTCATCCGGGGGGGCAGCTGCTCCCTCCTGCTCCTCATTCTCACCCACATCTTCCACTTGGATCTGGGGCGCAGACATTCTAGAGTCTGTCAGGGCAGTCAGACATGGGAGGGCGCGGAAGGCAGCGGGCAAGGCTAGGCAGTTGGCGAGGCTGGGGCCGGCTCTGGCAGTGCTGCATCCAGCTGGGGTGGGGTTGGTCTCGGAGTCTGGGGGAACTGAGAGCCTCTGGAGTCAGTCCTGGGGGCCTCTCAGAGGAGCTGTGGGGCCCAGGGTTTAGGATTAGTCCTGAAATCCTGTGGAGGCCATGCTCGGCAAAGGCAGGAACAGACAAGACAGCAGGAAACTGGCGGACAACGTTTGCCAAGAGCCACCGTCCCAGGGGGTGCAGAGCAGATACCAGGCCAGCGGGCAGGGGGCAGCTCGGGACCCTGCAGGAAGAACAGGAGCTGTGTCAGTCTGCATTCCTCCCACGCCCGTGGAGGCAGGCATGTCCACTCCCCAGGAGGGGAAACTGAGGCTCAGAGAAGTCCATGAGAGTGCTAGAAGTGAGACAACCTCACCTCTTTAACTCAAGATCTGCCAATGCCAGAATTTGATCATTTATAAAACAATCCCCCTTCTATGATCCAGTGCTTTTAGTAAGTCTACAGAGGTTTATTCTGATCCCCCTTTATGCTTGAGGAACCAGAGTCCTAAAGACCCTAAGTGACTCACCAAGACTGATCTCCTGGCTCGTAACAGAGGACAAGCCCAGCCTGTCCCTGAGGGTCCCCGGAGTCAGCTGAGCAGGCAGGTGGGCTATAGACTCAGCTGTGTGGGCTCCACTCGGGTGCCCTGCTTCTCCCTCGCCCGTCTTCCTCCTCCTCCTCCTCTTCCTCCTTGCTCAGCTTCCTCCTGCAGCAACAGCACCTGACTTCACCTCTTCAGGGAGGAACGAATCACCTGTGGCTGCAGAGGGAAGGAGTTGGGCTGTTAAACCAACACCAATCTTGTGACTCACCCTTCTGGGAAGCTGGTTCTCACATTCTCCAGGTGCCCACACCTCAGCCTTCCCTGGCGGGCCCAGCTGTGATCTGAGTCACTTCCCTGTGCTTAGAAGGGACATAAGCCAAGGGTCTTGTCACCCTCTCCCAGCAAGAGGGAGAAAAGTAACCCTGAGTGAGAATCAACAGGGACTCTCCCATCCTCAGGTCCCTGTGTTCCTGGGTCCCCAGGGACTGAGTATGTGGAGGGGGCGGCAGCAGATGCATTTGGCTTTCAGGGTGAGTTTGGAAAATCTGCACTGGGGCATGCAGCTGTAAAAGAGAATGAATGGCTGTGGAACAGCGTCCAAGACGAGACTTAGATGAAAAAGCCAGGTCTCAGCAGCCCGGCGTGGCCTCCTCCCTATGGAAAAGGAGGGAAAGAGGAGCCATGTTGGTTGATTTGTGAATGCTGAAGAGAAATCCCTGCCCGAGGTGGGAAAGACACCTCCAGGATGTGTGCTTGGAAAGAGGGGGACCCGGTGGACACGGATCAGGCGACAGCATGAAGAGGAGAAGGAGAAAGCCAGGGGCAGGCTGGGCTGCCAAGGGGGCCTGGTCTGCAGGGCAGATCTCCGAGACGATGGGGCGCCCTCGTCCTCCTGCTGAGCTGGCCCCAGTCAGGACTGAGGACTGCTGATCTCTAGAGATGCTTGGCTGGGATCACATCCCAGCTCTGAGCCTCAGTTTCCACATCCAGAAAGTAGGATGATACTGCCAACCGCTTAGGCTTTTGGGGTGCTGCCTGCATTTCAGGGTGCGCAGCGTCTGGCTGTATACAGCCTCCTTAGACTGTCTGCCGAGGCCCCTCCCAGGTGCCCACTGTTTGTCTGTCCCTTTGCTGAGAGGCCAGGATGCTTTCCGAGTGTGCAGGGTGGCCAGCCCTGCTGGAATTCCTTCCTAGGGTGAAGCCACTGGGAGAGGACCCAGAGATAACCGCTGGGAAGCCGAATCCTCCCTTCCCTGCAGGGGGCGCTGTGCGGTCAGGCTGTCCTGCTGGGGAGGGGACTCTCCACAGAGTGGGGTGGGGAGGTCGTTTTAATTAGCAGCTTCTGCAGCTGCTCCAGAGGACCTGGGAACAGGAGCTGGTAGGCTGAGTTAGCCAGGAGCAGCCTTTCATCTGCAGGGCTTCCTGGCGTGTGCCAAGCTCACTGCAGCCTCACTGGAGCCCAGGAGGCAGGTGGCAAGCGTGGAGGCAGGGAACAAGGGACCGAACACAGCACCCACCGTGTGACTGTGCTCAGCCTCTCCATCCACATGTGGCTGCCTTAGTGCCAGGCTGGGCGGCAGCACTTGTGGAGCTCAGTGCCCTCTGGAAGGCTGAGGCAAGATGATTGCAAATTTGAGCCCAGACTAGGCAACTTAGCATGACTCTTTCTCAAAATAAGAAACTCAGAAAGGGCTGGAGAGTGCTTAGCACGAAGGCCTTGAGTTCAATCCCTAGTACCCACCCCCCAAAAACATTCCTAAGAATTTCAGGATGGTGACCACAGAGCATAACCCAAACCTGTGACTTCCCATGCCTGGGTCCCACCCCCATGAATCTCTAGAACAACATTGACTTCTTAGGTCCTCAGATTAAACAAGGAGCTGTCAGCACAGTGCCCGGTCCAGAGGGAGCCCTAGACCAGTGGTGGCAAACATGTGGCCCCCATGCCACAGTGCAGTGCTTGTCACTGAAAGCTATAAAATGTTGCCACCCCTGCCCTAGACAATGCCACCCCAATGCATGCCACATTACCCCTGCCTCTGTACACCTCTGTACTCTGTACAGGCATCTGGTTGAATCTTGACCTGCCTGGGGACTGAGCTGGCTCCTGACCCTGCCCTCCTTCCCCGGAAGCCGACTCACACAGGCAGCTGGCCCATCTCCTGAGTTTTGGATGGCAAAGGCCTGAAAGATCTCCGTCAAGAGCAAGACTGTCTTCGCAAGGACCCCGCTCACTAGGCCAGTGCCCACACCCACTTCCTGCCTCTCACAGCTGAGGGTGCTGGGCTGACCTGGATTTGATGGCTGTCCATTCCAGAGGCTGAGGACAGACTTGGGCCTGTTTCTGGGCCCAGTGCTACTGCCAAGGAGCCCAGGACCCAGGCTCAGCCTTCTCCTCTGGGCCTGTTTCCTGGTGTGAACAGTATATCGGGAGCAGATCGGGTCCTGTATGGGAATGCTCCCTGAGCCACCAGAAAAGAGGGTTCTCACTGAGGGACAGAGGTCATAGCACCTTGCAGGCCTCCTGCCACCCCCAGCACACCTGCACCATGAGGACCTGCTGAAACAAGCTCTGTTCTCCAGGTCACTAGCACTGTCCCAGGACTGCCACCTCCGAGTGTCCTAGTAGCTGAAGAGGCCTGGAGGCGGGAGCTGAGCTGGAATGTCACCCACCCAGGCCAGGGAGGCCCAGGAGGAAGGTCCACTGGCCACTGCCCACGCTGGGCACTGAAATGGATGCATCCTGTGCTGGCAGAGAGGAGCCTCCCAGGTGCTGGGGCAGAGGCCTGGGCGGCCTCTCTGATGGGCAAAACAGCAGGGGACTTCGGGGCCTAAGCCCAGGGAGGAAGAGGTCTCTGTCAGCTGGGTAAGCCTAGGGTTGGGAGCATAGATTGAGGTGGAAGCCAAGACTAGAGACCCCGGGGGCTCTGGAGAACAGGATGTGAGATCTGGTAATCCCTCCAGGCCTGGGCAAGCCCCACCAAGCGGGCCACCCAGCGGCAGTGAGGACGCCTTGGGGGCGCCACCCCTCCCACCTCGTGATGTACCAGGGCTCAAGACCCACACAGCACCCACGCTGCCGTTCAGACACGTCTGCTGGCTTTGCTAGCCATGAGCTAATTCCCAGCTGCAGGAGGAGCCAGGTGGGTGCAGTCCCGGATGCAGCCCACACTCCAACCGCTTAAGGTACTCAGCTGGAAAACCTTCAAGCCCCCATGGCTGCTGGCGAATCCCCCTCCTCTTCCCCGCCTGGGCTCTCATCAGCACTTTCCTGATTTGGATTCTTCAGGAGCCATTCCTTTGCTCTGCTTCACGCACCAGTTTTGTAACCCCTGCCAGTTCCCCACCCTCTGGTTCCTCGCTGGCCTATACCCTGAGGCTGTCCCTTCAGCCCTGGGCCTTTCCTTCCCTCCTCTGCCTGGCTCTCAGGGGTCATCTCCTTCTGGAAGCTTCCTTGATTTGCCAGGGCTGTGTTGTGGGTGTCCGGCAATTACTTAGAGCAGCCACACCAGGACTCCTCCTGGCAGTGACCCCTGTGCTAACACTTGGTGCCGCTCAACTAGTGAGTACTGCCCCCCAGCTTTCAGACGGAGAGACAGAGGCATGGACAGGTTGGGTAACTGACCCCAGGTCAATGGCCGACTAAGCTGATCTGGAACTTGGGGCCCTGCTGTCTAACTGCTGGGCTTCCTGCCCCTCCTCAACTGTCACTCTCACCCCAGGCACTTTCTCAGTGGCCCCCTCTGTTAGACCCTCATGTTCACGAGGCTAAGGGTCAAACCTGTGTCCTGGGTTGTCCAACGCAGAAACGTGACACAGCAAATGGGCAAACAGGTCAGGATTCCTCTTGCTTGAGTGTGAGAGGAGCATACCCCACACCCCCTCTACCAGTTGTCCATAGGAGATGCCCCCACCTCTCCCTGCCCTGACACCCCCACCCCAGTCTTTCTGGACACAGATGTACGGGTCTCGCACTTGGAACCCATCAGAAACAGCTTCCCCTTGTGCCAAATCCAGGGACTCTGCACAGGACCCAGAAGAACCTCCCAGGTTCCCACCTTCTTGCCCCCTACTGTGAGGAGAGGGCCCTGCAGCACCCATGTCCCTTCCCCTTTGGGGTGGGGGTGGGGGTGCGAGTGGGGGTGGGATGGGGATGGTGGTCACATGACTCACCTGGGCAGATCACAGCCCAGGCCAGACGCTGGCTTTGCTCCCAAGCAGCCTGGGGCCCAAGCGCTTAGTGGGGAAGGGCTGCCGGCTCACAAGCCAGGCAGACAGGATGGTTTGGGGCCCTCATTAGACCTGGTTGGAAGCCACCTCACCCAGCCTTGATTATACAGCGGCCAAATTCTCCTCCTGGGCTTCGGCCACTCTGAGCTGGGTTCCCATGTTTATACCTGACTAGCAGAAGCTGATTAGAGGACAAGAGGCAAACGAAACTGTGTCTTGCTGATTCTTGGCTTTTGTTTGCCTGTTTGTCTGGCCTGTCTGGCCACTCTCCTGCTCTTCTGGCTGTAGTGAGCATCAGCTCAGTTGGGGATAGCAGGCTGAGTGCCCTTTGGTTTGCTTGCTTTGACCAGAAGACCAAATCCCCCCTCCCTTCTGCCTCTAGGCCCTGGCGAGCAGGTGGGAGCAGGAATTTCAGCTTGGCTATGCAGAGGCCCAGGCCTCTGGGATTCAGCTCTGTGACCGCTGGGTGTGGGAGGTGCCAGCCCTGAAGTAGCACCACCTTAGCCCAATTGTCCTTGCTAGAGGACTGCCGTGGGCCTTCTTCTCTGTCCTCCGGTGTGGCCTGCCTTCTCCCTCTTTCGCCATCTCTGTGAGCCCCTGATCCTGTTGCTGGTACTCAGGGGCTCTGATTTATGGGCAGACTCTCTCCTCTGTGTCCCTGTGTCTTCAGGGGTGGGCTGTGCTACCTGCAGTCAGGAGCCTCAGAGGGCATAGTAGCTGTCTGTCCCCTTCGTGAGACTACCATGAGTTCCTCTCATTCCCAGCTGATTTGTGTCCTCACCCACAGCTAACAACAGGCAAGTGTCAAGCTGTCCCATGCCTCTTAGAGGAAGTGCCACCCCTGGGTCACTGTAGAGAGACACCTGTCCTCTGGGTCACGCAGTCCTCCCCATCTGACTGCAGAGCCTAGGAGCTGGGGCAGACACTGCAGAGCCGCCCAGCCTGGCAAGGGGTGCGGGAAATGAGGTGCACTATTTAGAACATAAGTACAATCAGGGACCTCGCAGCCATGTCCCTGGCACCAGCACAGGCAGGGTGACAATAATGTCAAACTTCTAGGGTCTTCACACATTGGCATCTCTCCTACTCTGACTTCACACAGGAAAACACCGCGGCTCCCAGAGAGCACACTTGCCCTGGGAAGCAGGGCAATGGCCAGGCTGGATATACTCCCCACCAGGCCCCATACCTCCTGGCTTCTGACCCTCGGCCTGAGCCCAGGGACACAGGCACTGTCCCCTGCTTTTGGCCCCTGCGTGCCTCTGCAGGACCCCTCCAACCACAGTGCCAGTAATCTTCTGAAATGCAACCAGACCCCACTTTCCTGTGAGTGCCATCTTCATGAAGCTTGTGACACGCACTAGACACTGACACCTGCCAGGCACCCTGTGTGCATGACAGCCTTGTGATTTACAAACTACGATCACTCCCCGACAGATGAGGAAACTGAGGCCCAGAACAGGGAAACTGGCCCAGAGATACTCAGAGTGTACCAGCCAGGGTGAGAGGAGGAGCCAGCAAAGCTGCGCTGGGACCCAGATGGGAGCCTCTGCGTCCCCCTCCCAGTCCCAGCATCCTCTGGGTACTGTCCCCCTGGAGACAGCAGCTGTGCTCTGCTCTGCCGTCCTGTAACACAGGCCCCACTTCGGGGACCACTGGACTGCAACACTGAAAAGAAGCCTGAGCAGGCCTTCCAGTCACCTTCAGCTGGGCCAATGGTGGCAGAATCTCAGGCGACTGCCACCTTCCAGAGCACCCCACTGGTCAGAGCTGGCTACCGTGCGCCAGCCCCACCACGTGAAAAGCTCTCCAGCTGCCACCTCACGAGTCGTTTGAGAAGCTCCTGGAATGCAGAGGAGGCTGCAGCCCGGCAGGTCTGGGGTGGACGGTCTCTGGGTTGGCTTGGCAGCAGGCCTGGAAGCTGACCAATCTGCTGCTGCTCTGGCCGTAGGTGATGGCAGAGCTTGAACATGCATGTCCCTGTGTCCCTCTGCTGAGCATACCTGAGCAGGGTTGAGCCACAGGACCTCATCGGAGTCGTAGCCCAGCTAAGGATAGAATCTCTGACCCAGAGTGAGGTGGCATCTCAGTGCCCCCTCCTGCATCTGGTCATGTCTTGAGGACTCGGGTCTTTTTTCCTGGGTGGGCGCCACAGACTCTTGGGTCTGCACCTTGAGTCACAGGTGAACAGAAGAAGGCAGAGCTGGGCCATGGGCTTCTCTCAGGTTTAATCATCAACCCGACACTGGCGTCACATGGAGAGGCCCAGGCAGATGGTACTCACCTCCCAGCCGCACCTAGTGTGGCAGGTGGAGAGTGTGGTGTGGCTACTGGGGCTCTGCAGCCAGAGGGGGTTGAGGGTAGGGGACACAGCCCTGTACCCTGCAGAACTGCTGCAGGAGCTGCCTGCACCCTTCTGCCTCAGGTTACCATGGTGACCAAAGCAGAAGGGATGCCACTGGGCTGGCCTTGTGGCTGTCACTCCATCACTCTGTCACCCCCTCCAGGCCCACCGCCACCCCAGCCATGCTGGAAACCCCAGGATGGGAGACACATGTGGTGGCCCTGCTGTCTGTGTGAAGGGGAGTACGTCAAGGCTGCTATTTCGTGTGTGTGCACGGTGGCTCCCTGTGGGGCTATGCTCCGGGTGGCTGTGGGTGGGGAAGTAGGATTAGGGTTAGGATCAGGGTCATGCAGGACAGTCTTCTGTGGGGTTCTCCTCAAAAGTAGGCATACACCGTCTACACTGTAGGCAGGAGCACCCCACAGTGGTGGCTGCTGCCCCTCAGGTGGCCTGGACTTGCCACATCCTTTGCTATTTGATCACGCTCCCTGCACAGGCCCTGTGGGAATCCACCCCTCCTCCTGGAGGCGGCCTGGGCTCCTGCCGTTCCCCAGCTGGGTTGGGTGCCGTGGCGTCTCCTTCCTTCTGCAGACAGAGCTCAGCCTGCCAGGTCTCGGCTCTGCTCCTGCCCAGATCAAGGGCAGAGCAGCATGCTTACCTGCATTCTCCTGGGGACCTTCACCGCTTGAAGCTCAGTTTGCAGGTCCTGGGCTAACAGGTGCAGCTCTGCTCGGAATTCAAATCTTCCATTTGCACACCTACAGTAGCAAGAACAATCACAGACATTTAAAAATCATGCTGCACTTTATGGGTGTTTTTTTTTTCTTCCACACACTAGGACTCAGAACCCAAAAACCACATGGGACCAGCACAGGTCACCCAGCTCCATTAATGCTGCTGCATGGGCTTGGACCAGAATCCTTAACTCCAGGCTCATCCTTGCTTCTGTTGTCTAGAAAATGAGAAAACTTGCTTCCTCTTGCCCGGATGTGAGGAGGAAAGAATCTCTACAAACATTTAAGATCTTTGCAAATTCAAAGTGCCAGGTTAGTGCTGAATAATGGATGAGCCACACTCCTGCTGCTAAGAGGTGACCCACAGTCCTTCTGCAAGAAGCCTGGGGACGCAGAAACCTTTTCTCTCACTGTGCCCAGGGAAAAAAGTTAGGGAAGAAATCACCTCCCTAAATTTGTGTTTCACTGTTAATCAGTCAGGAGAAGGCCCTAGCTCCTGGAGCCAAATGTCTAATTTATGGCTTCTCTGCAAGGAGAGGACAATGCTCAGGGTTGCTCCAAGGAGGTGGGAGCTTGGGGACCCCCTGAGTCCCCACCATGTCCCCTCTGAGCCTGGGGCAGGGGGAGAGGTGCCAGGTCTGGGCAGGAAGGGCTATGGGAAAAGCAGAGAATGACGAGGTAGGGATGTCCACCCAGAATGGGGCCCAGGCAGTGTGTCATCATCCCAGCCTGTGACCCCAGGACTTTTCCGGCCAAAGGCCATAGTGGTAGTGGGGACTTGGGCACAGAGAACAGACAGAGTGGCCTTTAGAGCAGTCTGCAGAGATGACAGGAGAGTGCAGCTTGGGGTGGCGTCTAGGCTACAGGAAAAGGGACATTTCCCAGGTAAGCACACTGCAGCCCACCAAAGAGCCACCCAAGTGGCATTTGTCTCAGCCCCCAAACAAGGCAGTGAGACCTACTCAGATCCTCAGGGTAACCGGTTCCAACTTCAAATCAAAGCAAAATCAACAAACTCCTGCTTGAGTGGGATTTGTCCTTCTAACAATTCATTTCTGTTTTACTCGGCAAATTCCCAGCCTAGCCGTCGCAGAAGGACTTCTTAAGAGGCTCCATGGTGCATGTGTGTTTATGTGGGCTGCAGGTCTGGGCATGCTGACCTCGTGGTTGGAGGGCTTAGGGTTTCTAGCATGCAGCGGGGCCCATCCTGGGCTGGCAGGCGGGTCCAGCTGGCTGTGGGAATGATGCCATGGACACGCTGGGGTTGGAGGGCACTCTGTCCTGAGCGCCCACAGGCAGGATGGGACAGGTGGGTGTGACTGTGTTCCCTTATAGTACAAGCTGGTTCCATGACCTTGGTCAACCGATGCAACCCCCTAGACCTGGGGTACTTCATCCGGACAGATTGCAGTGGAAGCTGCCTCGCAGTCTGGGAGGCCCCAAAGGGAAAGGCGTATGTGAGTTCCCAGCTCCAGCCCTACGTTGACTGCTGTTGCTTGCCCTTCACTGAGTCCTTGGCCTGTCACATGGCGAAGCAGCTTTAGAGCCCCCACAGTCCCCTGGTGTATGTCCATGTACTACAGAGCATCACCGTCCTTCTCCAGCTGCACAAACCACAGGGACGTCTCAGCAGTCCCAGGCACACTGCATGCTCTTGGAGAGTAGGGCTGCTGCCCAGAGGGTCCTCAGTACACTCCGCACTGCCAACCTTAAATCCTCAGCAGACTTGGCGCCTGTGCTGTGCAATGTTACTGGGCTGGCTGCAACCCAGCTGCATTCCAGTCAGGACCCCTACGCCCCATCTCAGAGGAGGACGTCTCGACCCCCCAGGCAGCTGGGGCAGCTGTCCCAGTTTTTGTCCCCAGCAGCACCAAGCATTTGGTTCTTGGCCAGTGACTGCAAGGTATGTGTTGGTGTCCGTGAAGACAGAGATACCCAGATCACCCAAACAAACTCCAAGTGGCCTGACTCCGACAGGGGCAAGTGAAGGGATCTACCAAGCCCTCCTGGGAAGGCATTCAGGGTATCAGGAGACAGACCACTGGGACTTCACCGAGGCCCTTGGCAGGCTGTCTGGATCTGTAAATAAATGCCCCCAGAGCGCCTGCCTGTGTGGCAGAATCTCTTCTAAGGGTTGCCTGCATGCCAATCTGCTGTCCCCTTCCCCTAGGCTTTCAGGGCTGCTACCAACCAAATAAGATGACAGTGATGACCACACAACCATGTGAGAATCTTTCTGCATGGCCAAAGGGCATGTGTGGGTCAGTTCCTGCCTGCTGCGGGCTCCCCAGGACTGAGAGGCTCACAGGACCAGGCACCCAGGGTCCCTTCTGACTTGATGGTGGCTGGGGCAGCACCAGGCCCTAAATGGGCTCCCAGTCACAGACCCACATCCAGGACTGCCCAGTGGCCATTTCCAGCCAGACTCAGGTGCTGCTGGCTTCCTGGAATGAGGCCTTACAGAAGCTGGGACTGTGGCCACCACAGAGGCCTGCCTGGTACCAAGAGACATGCCCTGTGAGAGAGCCGGGGAAACCCACTGCCAGTTCCCACATCTGCATCAGGTACTTGGCAAGGAGTAAATCGGGGGCTCAGGTTGTGTCTTCCCAGAGAGAAGCTGAACCCTGTCTGCAGAGGCTGCAGGGGAGGCGGCTATGCTGGCTGGGCTGGGAACTCCACAGCATTGTCTGCGGGCCGGACCAGGCAGGAGAGGACCCACTGCCAGGAACTTGGAGGGCCCAAGGCCTGACCTGCCCCAGGGCAGAGGACCTCTCTTGTTGCACGGGAGCCAGAGGAGCTGTGCTGTGGATGGAGGTGAGGGTCCACAGGGCTCAGGAGGAAAGTGGACAGAGCGGGCAGGGCAGCCTGACTCCCCTTGAGGTTCCTCTCGATCCTCTCCTGGGTCTTCTGGAGAGGGTGTGGTGGGGAGCTGAACTCTGGTGGAGAGGGCATCTGGCCCAGCCAGGGAAATGCTGAGGTTTGGGGTCTTCCAGACTCCTTTCAGAAACTGGCCCTCTGTGGTGGCTGGGATGCTGTGGGGACTCCTGGCTCCCCGGACTCCCCACATCTACTCCAGCTTACTCCTCCCCGCCAGCCCTCCATGCTGGCTTCCTGTGCCCCACCCTCCCTGCAAGCCCCGGGTGCTCACATGTCAGTGACATCTAGTGACTCTGGAGGGACATCTACCAGTGGCTCTTGAGAATTCTCCATCTCCACTGTCATCTTCTGCCTTGGAAAGCAGCTCGATGTCCCAGTCAAGTAAAGAGCTATCATTTGGCAAAGCACAGCTCCGAGGGCCTACGTTCCAGGTGTTCCCTGGGCCACTGATTGTTGTCCATCGGCAAGATCCACCTGACCAGCATAGGAGAGACAGCCAGCTGTTCCCTCATTGCCTGGCGTGCACTGGTCTCGAAATTCACTTAAGTCCTCTTAGAGGGTGGCCGAGCTGGCAGATAGGGCAGCAGGAACTGGTCCCTCAGGGAATTCAGGCATGCAAATGGGAGGGCGAGGACAGGAGCAAGAGGACAGTCAGGGGTCTGGGTCAGCAAGAAGGAGCCTTCTGAAGCTGGCCAGGCCTTCCGGACCGGATGTGACAAACATTTGCTGGCTCCACAGTATCCCTGGAGATGGCAGGGACCTTCTTAGGTCACAGGATGAACCCAGCACACAGCTGTCAATTCATCTGGACATGACTGGCTTCTCCCCCTTCTCTGGATGGAGGACCCCTTGGATTTCCTACGACAACATCCCTTTAAGAGCACTGCTTCAGGGGTCTGGGGAGAGGGGCATGTGACTCTCTGCTCTTTCACCAGCTGCATGAGCTGCACCCAGTGGTTTAACCTCTGGTTTCCTTTGGCCACAAGGACACCACTGTCCCCTGAAAGGGTGGTCATGAAGCTAAAGTGACCACAGATGTGAAGGGTTCCCAGCACAAGCACTCCGTGAATAAATGCTGGAAGAACAGCTCAAGAGAGGCTGCTTTGCCAGGCCCCGAAACCACACTGGCAGGAGCCCCCATCCTGTGGATATGATCACGCTACAGGTGCCACCTCAGCTTTCAGGGACCATGCCAGCCCTTCCTGAGCAGGATGCCTGTCTCCCAGGACTCCCCTGGATAGCTCTGTGCTTGGGGACCCATCTCTTCGTCTGGGATTCTCCGGGGTGACAGAGAGTGTAGCAACTTGGTTCAGGAGAATCTGGTGCGGGCGAGACAGCACCAGCCTCCGCCACCTGGGATCACCCACCTCCAGATTTTCCCAGCCAAACAGGAAGCAAGGGTCTGATACAGGCACCAAAGGGTTTTCGGAAAAGCGCCACGCCCACCCGACTAGATGAAGGAGACCCCCCTCACCGCATGCGCTCCGCGGCCCCTCCTCCTGGTGACCCTGGTGCTGTGCGGTGTCCGGGTACTCGGCTGACCTGCCCTTTCCCTGAGGGCCTGTGCTACCTGGTCCCCTCTTACCCTGGTTTTAGTCCCAGGGCGATTGTGGGGCCCCCTTGTCCGGATCATTTGAGCTGAGATTGCAGTCTTGGGGCCAGGAACTTCGATGAGCCCGAGCCTGAGCGAAGGAGACAGGTGGGCATGGAGGTCACAGCTGACCTGGGCAGCCTGTACCACCCCTCTCTGCGCTGTCCCAAATGTCCTCCAGGAAGTCCAGCACTGGAGAGGCCAGCAGAGTGCTGAGGCTAGGACGGAGCGTGGCAGCCTCCCCTCCTGGGGAGGGTACGAGCCCCTGAGATGCAGGCGACTGGGACCCTCGGCAGTGAGGGCCCCGCCTCTCCCCGGAATGCTCTGGCCCCGGGCGCTAACCCACCTTTGGCGCGGGAGGCGTCGGCGCGATGGCGCTGGCGCTGGCGTTGGAGCTGGCGCTGGCGCTGTCCTGGTCCCCGCCGCCTGCTCCTGCCCGGCGCTGGCGGCTCCCGCCTCTCATGCATCCCGGCAGTGTTCTTTTGAAGGGACTTGGTTTGTTCTGCGTTGCGTCAGGGCGGTTGCCTGGCAACGCGGCACTCTGAAGCGGGCCTCCGTGAGGCCCGGGTCGCAGCGCGCGGGTCCTAGAGCCCCCCGAGTTCGCCCTCCGGACCTCAGATGAAGCCAAGCCCAAACATCCGTTTTTTTATGAAGACTGAACCCCTTTCCTGGGGGGGAAAAAAACGGAAAACAACAACAAAACAAAACAAAAAAAGAAACGAGCAATGTGGCTTTGCCACGGTCGGCGCTTTGCCTGCCCGGAGGGGGCTGCAACCCCATTCTCCAGTCTGAATCCCGCTCCACCCGCATCGGAGTGGGCTGTCCCCCGGCCTGAGGCCTGGCAGCGACTCCGTGCCCTGCTTGCCTGGAAAACCCAGAGCTGCAGGCACAGAGGACACCCAGGGCAGCCTGCAGGATCCGCGCTGGCTGCAGCTAGGTTCTTCATTCCTCCTCCCAAACCCAACCACGTCCCTGTCCTACCTGCCTGGGAGCGGAAGGGTCCCCAGAGTTAACCATCCAGTCTTTCTTTGCTTCCCCTTCTGCCCTGAAGGCAGCCTCTGCCCCTTGCTCCCTGTGTCCTTCCGGGACTGCTCTCCCTCACCCGCTGGGCTGGGGGACACTTGAGGGGTGACCTCCAGCTCGACCTTCAGCTCTGGGATTGTCCGATCTCTACCCACCACTGTCTGGGCTCTGAGGGGCTGAGCTAGGGTTTAGGAATATGGACAGCTGCGCGTGCAAACGTCTGCAAATCGTAGTGAGTTGATTCTGTTCATCCCTCGAGCTCCTTGTGAAGCTCCTGGAGTGCTGTGTACAGGTGTGAGCTGAGATTGCTGAACTGCATCAGCAGAACTGGCTCTGAGCTGCTGCATAGTTTATTTCGGGGGATATTGGGAGACATGAAGGGAGGCTGCAGGAAGAGCCCGGAGGACAGTGCCCATCTCTCAGGGTGGAAACCCTGGAGCCACCAGCCTGGGACCTGGCCTGGTCACTGCTCAGCAGATCACTGCAGCTACTTCTCTTGGGAATGTCCTCTGAGATCCTCCCTGCCCTGTGCAGGACTCTGGGGTGGGCAGGGGCCTTTCCCTTCCCTGCCACCTTCCTCAGGGCTCTGACTTGGTCTCCCCCCAGCCTCACTGAGACCCTCAGGAGAAGCCTTCTGGGCATTGGAACTGAAACTCGAAGCGCCCTCCTGCTTTTCAGAATTTCCCTACATTCACTTACTGCCCTCACAGTGTCAAGGAGCACCTGCTAAACAGCACAGTGTTCTAGGCTTTTGGGAGCAACCGAGGCACACGACTCCGCCTGAACCTGCTAATATCCTAGCAGATAAGCCAAGGCCCTAGTAAATTAGCAATATCATCAGTTACAGAGGACAAAACTGGAGGCCTGGACTGAAAGCAACGATGTGTGTATGTGGGGTGGGGGCAGAGCTGACCTCATTAGTAAGGGGGTTTCAGAGCAGAGGTTTTCAGAGGCGGAAGCAGGGGAAGGGTGATCCAGGAGAGAGCAGTCAGTGCAAAGGCCCCAAGGCAGCACATGTGGAGCAGGGCTAGGGAAGGCTGTGAGAGATGATGTCACTGACACAGCAGGGCCTGGTTGACCCCCCCCCCCAGGCCTCCACTTTCCGAAAGAACCGGCATGCACAGGGCACAAAGCACCCCACACTCCACTCTCCTGTCACCGTTTATAGGCTGAAGCTGCTGCGGGAAACTCCCTCTCTGAATCCCCTGTCATTCGTCTCCCTTCCACCTCCATGCTCACTGGTTTGGGAGATAACGTTTCTGTGTGGCTTTAGGATCCAGAGGATGGGAGAGGGACTTGAGGGTGACGCCTGGCCCTGTGTGAAAGAGCATTTAGGACCTCAGAGTCAAGGTCACAGTCCACCAGCTTCTGCCAGCTGCCCAGGAAAGGCCTTGTCCACGGGGGAACAACGGTGTGGTTTCCAGAGGAACCAGGAAGTGTTGGTGGGCGAATGTGGCAGCTGGGTGCTTTGCTGTCCTTATCTCTCTGACGAAGTGGCCCCACCCTAGGGCTGGGGCTGCAGGGAGCTTGCGAGGTCCTTTTGGGTCATTCTGCCAGCCTGCCTGGGTGAGGCATGGGGATTATATATTTTTTCTCAGTGGGATGCTAACTCGCTGAGTATTCACCTTGGTCCTGGGTGTCAACCGCCCCTCAGCCTGGCTGAGGAGGAAGAGCAGGCTTGGGCAGGGATCCTGAGGGTGTGAGGTGTCTGGGAAGCCAAGCTTGGAGGAGCAGCACCATCGCCCTGTGCAGCTGGGGGACCCCACCCCAAGTCAGAGGTGGAGGGGCAGGGGCAGTGATGAGGCACCAGGTGAGATCCTACATGGTGTGACCGGGAAGATGTCATTGCTCTCCCATTGTAGGGAAGCTGTAGGAGGACAGGACTGGACAGGAGGCCCAGGGCAAGATGGTGTGTGCTCTTCTGGAGGCAAGAGGAGCTGGCGGGGATGCCTCATGGAAACAAGGCTTGTTGCATTTCCCAGAGAACCATGATGTGAATGAACGGGAGGGTGGAGAGGGGCAGCAGATGGTGGAGGCAATCAGCAGGGGCCGCAGTCAGGCAGCCCAGGGTCAAGACCCGCGCAGCTGGGACCATTGTGCCTGCAGCAGTCACTTCAGAGAGCAGCCACTTCATGGATGCAGCGGGAATCATCTCATTAGCACTGAGCTGGAGAGGCCACTGGGCAGCCCTGGCCTGGACAGGGATGCAGAGAGCCTTGCTCTGGGCTTCTTCCGGGTCAGTGGCTGTGGTTCTGGGGACCTGTCCCTCTGAGTCCACACCCTTCTACTCTGCAAAGAAGATGTCAGACCAAGGAATCACACTCGGGCGAAGCAGCCTCTTCCTGCTCTGTGAGGTTTGGGTGGAGGCTAAACTATGAGACTGGGGAGCCCCTCCCCGGGGTCCCTGGGGTGAGAGGAGAAGAGGGGACCCCAGTGGGGGCTGAGGCCAGTTTCTCATGCCACACCGAGTTCCTGGAGTCCCAGGGTGTGAACTCAGAGCCAGACTTTGAGGTTGCTATAAAAACATATTTGTCCAGGCAGGAAGGAAGAATAACCCTTATTTCACAGTTTATTAGCTTTATTTATAATGTTCAAATATTTAGACACAGGGCGCGTGGGCCTGTTTCTCTGCATTTGCTTTGCGCTTTTCAAATGTCAGGGGTGGGCGTGATGATGGCCCATCTTGTGGTTTATTTAAGGAGCAGAAGGCACAGCACATGGTACACAGGCGTCTCCATCGTGGCCTCGGGAGGCTTGTTCTTTTCTCCCATGGACGCTTGCAAGAATGATAATGGTCTAAGCATTTGCAAGCCCGGCGCCAGCTCATGCCCAGGGATGGCTGGACAGAGGGCTGCCTTGGAGGCACAGAGTACTTGGAAGCAGAAATGTGGCCCTTCACAGTAGAGCTCATCCCTGCTGGGCAGGATTATAAGCACCATCTTCCCCCAGGAGCCTGCTGCCTCCCGGGATCTCCCTTGAATAGTGGAAAGAGTCCTGGGAGGCCACCAGGGGCTCCAGCTTTCTAGGCCCAGCTCTGTTGCTAATTAGACCTTTGTCGAATCAGTCATGAGTGACCTGAACTCTGGCATCTCCTGTCCCAGCTCTATGATACTCAGCACCACTGCCAGAGTCTGTTCTGCCTGCAATGGCTGTGAGGCCAGGGA